CCTCCCGGCGGAGCAGGAGGGGACACGGCGGGAGCCGCGCAGCGCCGGGGCCTCGCGCCCGAGGTGAGTCCGCCCGCGCGTCCCCGCGCCCGGCCAGCCCGCCCTGAGGGGGGTGCAGCGATTTGTGTGTGTGTGTGTGTGTGTGTGTGTGTGTGTGTGTGCGCGCGCGTGTGTATATGTGTATGTGTGGGGGGTGTATATGTGTGTATGGGGGTGTATGTGTATATATGTGAGTGTTTGTGGGGGGGGTGTAGATGTATGTGTGTGGGGGTATGCGTCCGCGTGTGAGTATGTGGGTGCATGTGTATAGTGTGCATTTGTATTTGCGTGTGTGTGTGCGTGTATATATGTGGATAAGTGTGTGTTTATATGTGTATATATGAATGAGTGTACATATGTGTGTGTGTGTATGTGTGCACCCGAGCCGGTGTTAGTGCACGCCGTGTCCCGTCCAGACCTCCTGCCCCCCCCGCGTCCTGCTTCCCACTCTCGTGCACACACGCGCGCCCCCAGCTCAGTGTCCCGGGTCCTTCCCTGCAGCAGGACGAGACGGGACGGGACAGGAGGGGCTGCCCCTGGCCCCATGTGGCCGGGCCGGCCGGAGCCTCGCCGCAGGTGATCGGGGCACGCCGGGGACCCGCTGTCGCTGCGGTGCAGTCCCGGGGGGCAGACACACGCGCTCCTACAGCGCCCCGTGCCCTTCGTGCACCCCCAGCCCCGACGGAGCTGCGCGCCAAGCTGCCAGCCGGCCCCGGCGCGTCCTTGCCGCCCGGCTCGGCACCCAGGGGCGCTGGGAGACCCTGGAGGAGTTTGCGGGGCAGCCGGCTCTGCCCGGGGCCTCCCGGCGTGTGCGGGGTGCGGGGCAGGGGGGGCAGTGCTGAGAAGGGCACGACACGAAAGCAGCCTCCTCCCCGGCCGCGCGCACACACACACACGTACACATTCAGGCACACATATCCACACTCAGACATCTACACACACATTCACACACAAACACGTGCAGATACACACCCACGCTGACACACCCATACACACATGCTGAGACACAAATACTTGCACACGTATACACACTCAGACACACGCACATACTTATACACACATATACCATACACGCATAGACACATACACACACGTACACACTCAGACATGGAAGCACCTACACACGTGCTTACATGCACATATACACACCCGGAGACACATACACATGTACACACACTCAGACACACACACATATACACACATATGCGCACAAACGCTCCCCCACACTGAGCCATACACATAGGCACACACAGACACACACACACATATACAGACACTCACGCAGACACACACAGATACAGACACACTCAGGCACGCACACACACTGAGACACACACATATACACACATACACGCAGTCACACACACTTATGCAGATACAGACACACTCAGGCATGCACACACACTGAGACACACACACGTACATGCTGCCCTGGCTCGCTAGGGCTTGGGAGACATGAGGTGGTTTTCATTTTCTTTTGTGCGCGCGCCCCGTGCCCCGCGCCCTGCAGCCTGTGCCCCAGGAGACGGGGCAGGATGGACGTGCCCAGCTCAGCCCCGCTCTCCCTCCCCGGCTCTGCCAGGGTCATTAACACGCGCTTTCCCCGTTGTGTTTCGTGTGCGCGGCAGCCGCTTCCCGGCTGCAGCCTGAGACCGAGCGGCTCGTGTCAGCCGCTAATGACAGCCAGGGACACCCCCGCACTCCGGCGGGCTCCTCGCACTGCTCGGGCAGGAGTGTGCAGGGGGTAGGCGCTGCCTCTTGTTTTGGTTTCTTTTCATTTCCGTTCGCTAAGGGACTCCCTCCCCTCCTCCCTTTTTGTTTTGTTGTGCTTGTTTTTGGCAGTTGTTTTCCTTCTGGTGTAAATGCAGGCAGGCAAAGTGGTGTGAGTTCAGGTTGTCCACCTCCTTCCCTCCCCCTCTTTCCCTTTCTCTCCACTGAAGAGGGCTAATAGCCTTAACCCGCTGGGGGGGGAGGAGGGGGGCCGCGAGGGGAGTCCAGCCACCCCTTTTGCCTGGCCTGGGTGCTGTCTGGGCCTTGTGTTTTGCTTTGAAAGGGCTTCCATATGAAAGTGTGTGTGTGTGTGTGTGTGTGTGTGTACTTAACTGTGTTTGTGTGTGCGTGTGTTGGAGACTGTGTGTGTTTGTACTTGACTGTGTGTTTCTGTGCGTGTTTGGACTTGACTGTGTTTGTATGTGTGTGTGCGTAGGAGACTGTGTAGGAGCTGTCTGTACTTGACTGTCTTTGTGTGTGTGTAGGAGACTGTGTTTGGGCTTGACTATGTGTGTGTATTTGTACTTGACTCTGTGTGTGTGTGTCTGTAGGAGGCTGTGTACTTGATTGTGTGTTTGTGTGTGTAGAAGGCTGTGTGTATTTGTACTTCACTTTGTGTGTGTAGGAGGCTGTGTGTGTTTGTACTTGACTCTGTGTGTGTGTTTGTACTTGATCTACAAGGAGGTAACAGGATTCTCTGCGTTCAAACCCAATGGGCTGTTGGCCATTACTTTGCCTCTCTGGCTGTCATTACAGACACTTCTAAAATCTGATGGCTAAGGAGAAAACTGTGGG